CAGGAAAAAAATAATTATATTTTTTATATATATATATTTTTTTTTTTCCTTGCTGATTTGGGGAAGGTTGTAGCTCTCGGATTAACCCTTTAGGAGCAGCGGGGGATGCTCGCTCCTGCCTTGCCTTCGCAGGGTGAAGATTTTCCTGCATCCCCAGCCTAGGTCGATAACCCGGTTTATGGGATGGAGCAGCCCACAGTGCCACCCTGGCCCGGCAGCAGGTTTTTGGGGCTTCCCCTGCCCTTACCCAGCAGGTTTCCCCCTCCAGCCAGGAGTAAACTCTTGGGGCCGGCGTCCGCTCCTCACCCAGAGCAAAACAGGTTTCGCATCGTTTCTCCGGGCTGGCGTCACCGCCGTGACGCCGGGGACGCTTCGGGGGACGAGTGTGTCCCCCCGGGAGGACTTGGAGGGAGCTCGGGGCATTTTTCCCGCTGCACCGCTTGGGAAAAACCCTTTTGGCTGGGGAGGAGGAGGAGGAAGATGACGGCGTAGGAAGGACGGGCGAGGCTGTTTCTTCCTTGGTTTGCAAAGGAGAGCGGAGGCGGCGTGTCGTCCCCACCCTGCCCGGGCTGCCGGCACACGGCACAAACCGGCGGCGAAGCACTTGCTCCCCAGACCTGATGGACCGGTCCCATCCCTCGCGGCTCCGTCGCTTGGCTCCGGGGATGCTGCGAAGGCACCGGAGCCCCTATAAAGCTGTGGCAGGAGCAGGGTGAGCCCTGTGCTGGAGTGGGACCGCTGTGATTTGCACCGGTGCTGTGCTCCCCTGGGAGTTTTCACCCCTGGGGGAGGGGGAATTTTTGGGATATAATTGTGACGGGAGTGGTTCCTCCCTGGTTTCGCCGCACTCAGCAGCATGCTTATCTCTGGTGTAGAAGCCAGCTGCGCTCAAGCGTGCGGCTTCGCTCGCCCTCTCGCCCCGAAGGATGCCCGTGGGGCTGGTGGCTGAAGGGTTAAACGCAGCTCCACCACCAACAGCCGCACACTGACAGCTTGCTCCAGCACCGAGTTAGAGCTGTAACTCGGCATCTCTCCTCGAGTCTGGGCTGCGAATCCTTCGGTGCCGTCCAGAGGCAGGAAGCTCTGCCCACAGCCTTTGCTTTGTCATATTTTTTTCCAGCGGGCTTTGGTGTATTTTTAGCTTGCAGGAAGCTCCCCCCTGGTTATCGGCAAACTGCTAAACACGCTGCCCCTGCCCCGCACGCCCAGAGCACTAAAATCCTCGCCGCCGAGGGGGGAGAGAGCCACAGAGCACAGAAAGACCCCCCCCATCCCTGGCAAAAACCCTTGGAGGGTCTTAACCGGGACGTGTGAGCCCAGACGCCAGGGTGATGGGCACCCTTGGTGCCTCACCTCGACGTGGATGGCTCTAATGGTTTTGGTCTCTTCTTGGCACGCGGCCGGTTTTCTGGACGCCGGTGCTGTAGCTCGGCGTTGCCAGGGGCCCCGGCCAGCCGTGTTGATACAGACGCCGGGTTATTCGAGGTGAAAGCATCCCCGCACCGCCCCTGGCACCGGCGTAGCCAACTCGGCAGCTTCCTGCCGTGCTGTGGCCCTCTGGCAAAGGACGGCTGCTCCCGGCCGGGATGTTTGTTTTGAGCATGGGTCCAAAAAAACCCCCCTTTTCTCCCTGTGCTCCTTCCTTCGCCTTTGCAAACGGTGTCACCAGAGCTGGGGGTGCCCTCCCTGTCCCACCCTGCCACCTCTCGCCCTTGGTGGGTGATGGAAATCCCAAACCGTCCCGTGAGCGATTTCGAAAGCGGGTGGCGGGGTGGGGACGTGGGCGGCACGGGGCCGACGCGGTGGAAACCAGGCGCCTTTCGAGCCGAGCTGCTCCTTACGCAGCCGGGCAAAACCCGCATGGTTTTGCCAGTGGCGATTATTTTTTTCACCTGTCTCATCTGCGTCTTCATCACCCGGGTCAGAAAAAGAGGTGGGAAAAGAAGAGGTGGGGAAAGGGGGAATAAAAAAAAAAAAAAATAAAAAGAGGGAGAAAACAGGGTGGAGGGTGACGGCACAAGGGTCATGGTGGGAAATGCTCATGTCTCTCCTCTCTCCCTTCTCGCAGACAGGTTCGGCGGGCGACCCGGTTGATGGACCCAGCAGAAGCCAAATGGAAGAAGGGCCAATTAATTATGTCGAAGAAAGGCGGCTGAACGAGGGCAGCAGGCTCAGCTTGGCGAATGGGGTCCGGCCGGAGGCGGGGGGCACCGCGCTGATGGAGCCGAGCGGCTGGTCGCCGGGCCAGCCGCCCGCCGCTGGTAAAGCCCACTTGGAAGACGTCAGGAATCTGGTGGCCTTTTCGGCGGTGGCCGAAGCCGTTTCCTCCTACCGGTTACCGCCCCCGGGTTCACCGTCACTGCTGTATGAGAAGTTCGACTCGGAGATGAGCCGGGGTGGGCTGAGCGCGGTGGACGGCGTGCCGCGAGGAGAGGACCTGCACGCCCTCAAGGCTGCCCTGGCTTTGGCCAAGCACGGCGTGAAGCCCCCAAACTGCAACTGCGATGGCCCCGAGTGCCCTGACTACCTGGAATGGCTGGAGCAGAAGATCAAGACGGCTCTCGGCGAAGAGCCGGCATCACCACGGCCCCATCC